CTCTCTCTCTCTCTCTCTCTCTCTCTCTACGTGAATACAAGCGCTTATTGGATATGTTTATGCATTCAATTGAGTACAACATCTCATGCCTTTCATCGCATCTTATTGTTGAAATTCATTTCATCCCAAACAACACAATCCATAAACTCGTCGACAATAAAGTCAAGAATATTCTGCACAAAATTAAGAAATATTCCACACTTTCTCGACAACAAAAAAATATATAATTTTCGCACAAAAAATGAGTTTTTGAAAAATAATAATAAAAAGTCTATTCGTCTGACAAATGATCGATTGAAAGAGAGCTTTCTTTCTATTATATGTCAAGAATTTTAAGGTCTTATAGGAAAGTATAAGTAAGAAAAATAAAATCATAATCGATTCACTGCCGCAAATGTGTTGGCAATAAAAATAAGTACACTATAAGTGATAAACAAAATAATTAGTGAATTTAATTTTCTATATAAACACTGTATTTCTCAGCGCAGAAAAACATCATTCAATCGCTATAATAATCATTGAAACAAATGTCAGGGGTTTAGCAGACATATGAACATCGAGTTCATAAAAAAGTAAGCAAAGACTATCTGTCTGTCTGGATGTGTGCATCGATTAAATGGTGATGTTTTTCACACGGTTTGTATGAAATTCAAATCAATCACAATTTGTCACCATGGTTGGTTTCAATGAAATAACATAAAAATAGCGACAAATACTCTACAGTATTAACAAAACATAAAAATCATGAAAACAATTATTGTGATCGTTATTCATATGAAAGCACGAGTTGTCACACATTTTACGCGCAAATAAATGATAGATTAGTTTTATTGTAAACATATTTACAATGAATTCAAACAAATTATTTATTGATCTGTTGTCGGGAAATGATGTCCGCCTGACGGGTGGGTTCGGGAACGCGATATCGACAACACTTGAGCACAACGTCGACCGCAGTATTCAACGACACTTTGTGTCCGACCGACACGTAGACCGGATTCTTGCAGTCGGGGGCTGTCTTGAGGGCCACTCCCAGCACTTCACCCGAAGAGTTAGTAATCGGGAATCGGTCGCCAACCGAACAAAGTGTATGTATTTGACGTTTGTGTTCATCTTTGACGGATTGGTCAATAAATGACAGATAATATGGATTTTTGGCCACTCCTATCACCGCAGTGTCCACAACAACACCGAAATGTGAGGCCAAACCAAACTTTCGCGGATGTAATACACCTTTAAAAATGGCAATCAATGCGTTAAACAACACATTTAAGTACTAAACAATGCTTTTAAGGCCTACCGTTGCCATCGATGAGCCAAACCTGTGGCAAAAACTCGGGTTTGTTTTGCCGAAGAGTCTGGTATTCGTTGACCAAAAACTCAATCTCACGAAAGGCCAAAAAGCCGGCGATATATCGAGTCGTCAATTGAATAAATGTATTGTTTTTATAGACAATTTCAAAGTCATTGGTGGCGTCCAACACAACACAAGTGACACAACCTCTGGAACTGTCTGTCTTGTCGTACGATATGTCCAGACCTCCGATGAGCCGTAGTTTGTCCGCACTGTGGGCCCACTCCTCCGTGTCCTCCGTCACCAGTCTTTCCCTTAACTCTAACTGCAATCTAATAAACTCTTCCGTCAATTCTTCGTCACTCTTAACGTCCAAATCAGACATTATTTTGGCGTAAAATACAAAACAATATAAAATATATGACAAAATAAAACACAATTTATACGACTATTTGTATGAGTGATGTAATCATCTAATAAACAGAGTATTGTTTATCACAACTTATAAATACAGTACACATTTGTATTGCAAACAAGTGTTGCAATAATCATCAAATTGTTGCTACAATTCAAACACGTTGTAAACAACTGCTTATCATATAATAATACAGTATATTAACACATGAACAACAAATGACCATGATCATTTATTACGCAACGATTGTCATTAGTTTAACACTTCTGTCGGTTATCTTATAATTGAATCGTTTGGTCGTATTGTCTGGTCTTCGGGTGATGTGAAGACAGCCCGTGACGAGCGGTGAATAACCGGACGACGTTTTGTCGATTTCACACAATATGTCCGACTTATGAGCGATCGATACGACCAATCGGTTCAGTTCTTCGTCGTCCTCTTCGGTCGGATAATGGCTGCCAATCGCCAGAAGAATGTCGTTATGAAGACAATGGACTCGCAATCTGTGGACCAGTTTATAGACGCTGAGAAAGTCGACGCCTAATGTCAACAATAGGCTCAAGTCGTCGATCAGTACAACACTATTGGCCGGCAATTGAGACAATTGTCGGTCCAAATCGGCCACAAATCTCTTGAAATCAAAGCCGCGGTCTCTGTCCTCCTCTGTGGCCAACAACACGTCGACCACACGAATGAGTTGTTTGTCTCTAAGATGCGTCAAATTGAGGCCAATCTTCGCGGCGACGCTGCGATAGTGGGACCAACTGTTGGACAACAAGACGACCGCCAATTGGCGGCCAGTTTTGGACAAATTGTGTAACAAATAGTCGAAAACAAATGAATGCGAAATCAGGTGACGGTATGTAAAGAGCAGACAATCGGTTGGCGACAAATCCAGATGTGATAACAGATCCAAAGACATCATACAAAACACGGACAACACTGTAAACAACCATTCATTGCAAACACAGACACCGATTGAATGCAATCAACACATGAATTACGGCCCGAAATTACATTACATTTATAAACCCCTTAAACATATCGCACAATACAAAGCATATGTTAAATGTTTATCTAAAATGCTTTACTAAACGTTATTCATGTTCACAACCATTGCTATACTGACAGCACGTGTCTAAAGGGCGCGCTTTAGTGCGCACGCGTCGACTCTAAGCCTATTTCTATGGTTTGTTTTGATTGCGATTTACGGCTCAATGTTTGCGACGATAACTGATTAACTAATCATATGTTCACTACATTTGACGCCAAACTATCCCTTTATTTACCACGAATTGACCACAACTTCGGACACAAGACACCACTTCTACACGTGATATACTTATTGTCACCACTTATTGATCGCTCGCTGAAGAGGAAGGCATCGACAAAGTGCGCGAAGACATCATCGGAAGAGTAGTGGAAGTAATGGTGACATTCATGCCATTAGTTTCATCGGCCGATACCCCGGGTATTATCTAATGGCCGTCTAATACACGAAACGCTGTGTTTATAGCAGTTGTCGACTAAATTATAAACAATACCCGTATTTGGCGTCCAATACGTGACCAAACCGTTGATAACAGGGATTGTTATTCAATGTGTAAAACAGTGTTAGATATGAAGACATCCCAAAAGACACCCAAAAAGAAACGACCGGTGAATACGGATGAGAGTCAAGCCGTGGACTCCGAGGCCACGACACGACGGCGTAAGCGATCGGTCGCCGCACCCAAAGGCAGCCCTTCAAAGCCTAAAAAAGAGAGATCCAGCGGTCGGACAGCAGTGGCCGCGGAGACTGATTCACAGACAGAAATCAAGAAACCCAAACGCCGTCCGTCGGAGGCAATAGATTCGCAGCCAAAGAAGACAACACATAAGGCGCGGACACCGAAGGCAGTCATCGTTGCCACCAATGAATACAAGGGCCGGTCCTTCGATGAGATCAACCGAAATAAGTTAAGCGAAGCCCCGCTTCATATCAATTACCGGTCGCGAAGAAATATGACGACCGAACAGAGGGACAGCGCCCGACAGGAGGGTCTGGTCATCAAAAGGGGTCCATTCACTGCCGAAGAGAACGCCATTTTGAATCGCAATTGGCGTACGTTTTGCGACGACTATCCCATCGATAGGCCGCACCTTTTGCTCGGTTTCTTCAAGGGATCGCTTTCTGATGAGGACAGGGATGACGTGAGAGCCGCCCACGAGTTGGTCGCCAATTCCGAGATGGATATGAGGCTCGCGCGCGGACTCCCGCACCGACATCACAGTCAGATCTATCAGAGGGCCCGCAAACTGTTCAACGGTCTGCGCCGGGCCTGCGATCTGACCGCCGCCGAGAAGCAGTCCATATGGAAAATGTACGCAAACCGCGTGAAGAAGAGAGAGATCGCCGCCGAATTCATGGTCGACATCCGCGTTGTCGAAGAGCTGATCCGCAAAAACATGTCGTCCGAGCGAATGGTGTTGAAGAAGAGCCTCTGGGATGACGAGGAGAACCAGAGATTCGCCGCTATTATCCGAAGTCTGACCAATTCGGGCGACTATTCGGACATCCCGTGGGAAGAGGTGTCCCGACAGATGGGCGATCGGGCCGTATGGCAGTGTCGACAGCACTTCCAGACCCGCGCCTTCTATAAGCTCTACAATCCGGACAGCAATTTGTCGAATAAGTGGAGTCGAAATCTGTCGTTAAAATTGATTTATTTTCTGGATATGTGTGAAGAAGACAACGATGAAAACGATGTCGACTGGGATCTCGTCAAAGAGAAGTTCGCAGAGTTGAGTCCATAAAAAACCACAAGTGGTTTGAATTGATTTTAATTGATTGTATTAATTGATTGTATGATTTGTATAGTGTGTGCGCTTACAACACAATGACCCGCAACTGGTATCAATTGAAGATATCAGTGGATGGATGGGAGCGGAAGACATATCGCCAGATAGTGAACGAACTGTTCAAAAAATGGTTCGGCGCAACGGTTCCCGACATTATCCACGAAGAGTTTAGAGAGTTTTGGGGCATTAATCGTAGTTTAGAGTAATTTAGTTTGCATTTTGAGGACAATTCATTTAAATATTCATAAATCTCATTACATTAACAGTTGTCACCATTTTTTTCATTTAATTTTGTAATATTTATTCAAACATTTTTAAATATTATTTTAAAAGTTATTTTTTGATATACAAATATGAAAACTATCGCTTGTAATACGAAATTATGTACATTTTTTATTATAAATCAAAAATTCTTTGACTCCAATAGAAAACTATTGCATTAAAATGTATATAATTTTAATATAATATATATTTACATTAATTTCTTCTATAATTAACTAAATTAACAAATTGTCTGCTAATGTGATGAATGTGTTTGCGATAAGAGAAAAACGTCTATCGATTTGAGAGTCAGACTTAGAGTCTACGGGTGTTTATCACAAAACTCCTGACCCATACCTCACTTACAGGAGGCAACCGTTAGTGAACATCCCATAGCTCTCACATAGAGACTACTGTTTGAGAGAGTTTTGAATGAGAAAAACAACACAAAATCCTTGAAAAGTCTAAAAATCCGACACTTTATTAGTTGAGAAGAGGAGTGACGTTAACATAAATGTGAAGGACTTTTACCACTCGATAGACAACGTGTTGCTGTCATTGTCAGTGAGAGAACCAGCTCTTGGGTCCAACTTTTTTTCGCACTCGCATTCAATTCACACCGAAATCTCATTTTCCACACAGACTTACGTAACTCTCAATCCGTATTACAACGTGATCATTATTTTTTTGCTATAAATACTGGGCGTTCAGTCGTTTGGAATAGTTTCTCGACATTTGCTGTTGGTTGAATTTATAATTACCAAGACCATTTTGTGTGCGAATATGTCTGCCCAGCCTAAAGTGATCAACTTCTCTCCCGGACCCGCAAAACTGCCGCCTCAGGTACGACCGAAATGGTGTGAAATTAACAACAATTGTCTTAAATATTGTATTTTTTGTTTGACAGGTTCTGAAGAAGGCTCAGGAAGAGTTCATTCATTATGGTAACACTGGTATTAGTATTGTGGGTATGTATTCACTTCACTTCATTTTGAATAATTTTAGTTTTCATTAGATTTATGCAGTGTTTTGTCGTTAATATTCTGTCAAATACTTTGTTTTTCTCCTAAAAATCCGTATATTTATTATTTTTGCGGAATTTTTATAATTACTGTAGATTTTGAAGCAATAATTTTTACTATTTTTTAAAACGACAACTGTTTGAACATTTAATAGATGATAGCCTTGAATATTGGTTTTGTTATGTAATGCTTTTCAGCGATTTTACACTTATTCTAACAGTAATTACATAAATGTTATTTAATATCATTTTACACACTTTTTGCTAGATTTTAATCTAATTTCAATATATTTTTGATACAATTCTGTGAGAATTTGTGTGAAATATAACATAAATATCATATAAATTTACTTTAAGGTACTTTAGACTCTTGAATGACACACATTCATACACTTACAAGAAAATTAAAAATTTCCAACAAAATAACTATTATTCAAAATAACTAATTAATTATTTGATTAAATAAAATGTTATATTTCTTCTCATTCATTATAAGCACAATATTTTTCATATATTTAATTACTTAAATTCAGTTGAATTTGAGTGCAGTTTTGGTTCATTAGTTGCAATATTAGTGATAAATATCGCAAAAGTATTTTTTGATAAACAATTCCTAATCTAAACATAAAAACTACAAATCATACAAATTATTATTTTTTAATCTAATCAATTAATAAATTACTAATAAAGACATTTAACTTATGCTTTCATATATTGTTCTCCAATAGAGATGAGCCACAGATCCGCTGAATTTGAAGCTATTGTGAAGAATGTGCAAAAATTGTTGACAGAATTAATGTAAGAATTAGGCAACAAATCAATAAATCACAGACAAAAACATAGTAACAAATCATAATTTATAATTATAGGGGAATTCCAGACAATTATAGCATATTATTAATGCACGGCTCGGGCACCGGTCAGTTCGCGGCGCTTCCCTTGAATCTGGTCTCTGGCCTGAAAGACGGCTCTCTCACCAACTACTTAGTGACCGGCGCCTGGAGTGACAAATGCGCGAAAGAGGCCCAAAAGTATACGACTGTCAATACAGTGACACCGAAACAGAAGGAGTACTTCGAGATTCCGGCGAAGAGTGAGTGGAAACTGGACTCAAACGCCAAATACTTCTTCTACACCGACAACGAGACGATTCACGGCATTGAGTTTCCATACATTCCCGAAACGCTGCCAAATGTGCCGCTCGTGTGTGACATGACGTCCAACTTCTTGACGCGTCCCATCGATATCAAGAAATACGGCGCTGTCGTCGCCGGCACTCAGAAAAACGCCGGAATCGCTGGTATGGCTGTTGTTGTCGTCCGCAAGGATCTGATCGGAAAGGCGATGGATGTCTGTCCATCTATTCTCAACTATAAGATTATGGACGATAACAACTCCCTATACAACACACCACCGGTCTATTCGTACGTCAATTACATTATTATACAATTATTTAATTAATTAATAATTATAATATCTAATTAATTGGTCTTTTCTTATATAGCATTTATATGTGTGGTCTATATCTACAATGGATTAAAGACAACGGAGGTCTCGAAGGGATGGCCAAACGGAGTGACGAGCGATGCAAACTGATCTACGATGTGATCGACAACTCTAACGGTTTCTACTACTCGCCAATCAAAGCCAACTCCAGGAGTCGAGTGAACATACCGTTCAGAATTGGCGGTCAGTCCGGCGACGACGCCCTCGAGAAACGGTTTGTCGAGGAGTCGAAGGCTAAGGGTATGATTCAGTTGAAGGGTCACCGATCCGTCGGCGGCATCAGAGCCTCGCTCTTCAACGCCATGACCGTCGAGGAGACACATGTGTTGAGACAGTTTATGATTGATTTCCAGAAAGCAAATCAAAAGTAATGCAAATCTCGTTTTGAATCATCAGATATCGTGTTAAACAGTAATACTTTAAAACTAAAATAAAATACAATTATAATTCATATTTTTAATATTAATATTATTAATTGAAATAATTTTATTGTTGTATATTTTGTTTGAATAATAATTATTCAATAATTTATCCCTTTTTCGATACATTTTATACACTTTATTTCGAAATAACATTAATTTCATAGAAAAATAATAAAAATATTTAAAAATATACAAAATAATAAATAATATAAAGGTAATAAAAATAATTTTTATTGTTTTAAAATGATAAATTATGATCACAAAATATTAGTGGTCAGATATGGGTATGGGCTAACATCAATCCCACCAATCAACCAATATGCAATTGAACATGAAATTGTCATATTTTATTCTCATGGTCGTTTGAATGTTTGCTATAGTAAATCATGGTCACTATAATAGCGCTCAATTCACCCTCAAATCAATAGAGAAACGTTTGTAAAAACATTATTAATATACAAAACACTGTTTCCTACTATTAATGATATTCTTGTGTTTAGCAGAATATTCTTAACGTTGAGTTCATTATATTCTGAATAAAAACTACACAAAAATCAATATATCGTTTCATTCACTTCAATGTCGTTGACATTCACCTTAAGTTTTGTCGCAGTTTTGTGTTATAAATGCATAACAATTGTATGCATTAATGAAATGATTGCTTTTGGATATGGATTTTAGTTATGCTTATAAATAATTCAGTGATTATTATTGTTTGTGACATTTCTGGTCATCACATCCACTGATGACAAGCGATGGATAAGTTTCTGTTTCTGAAGTACTCATTGATATTCATACAAGTTTTAACACTCATATCGTTTACCCTATTCTTGAGCCATGTATTTGAGGAAAGTCTGGACAGCGATAACCATCCGGAACTGCTTGTCGATGATTATACTGTTGATGACAGCCATATGTGGGAATCAAGTGAGTATAAAAATTTCATAAAACAAATCTCATTTAATAAAAAAAATATTTCACAAAAAAATACTAATTTTAAATATTTGTAAAATTTTTAAATGACTAAAAAATTAATTATAATTAAAAGTGAATTACAAGCAATTTATGCAAATGAATCCATAGGAACCGATGGTCTTATAATTCTGGCATTCCTTCTGTTCCTCTATTGTATCATCACTTTTGGCATCTATTCAGTAATGGAGGAGAAGTTTGTGGCGGTTCTGGTATTTCTGATGCTGTTTGTCATATGGGTTGCGGTATTTCACTGCGCGGTCATTATCCACGACCTCCCGGTGCCTAAGAAACTACTGGTTGTCGATGAAATCACATCCACTTTATTGTCCGTTATATTCCTCTTAATGTTAAAACGTTTGGAGAATTTAGAGACCGTTAGAGTGAATGAATTGAGTAAATCTGTGTCAACCATATCCGATAATTTGCCATTTAATCCCAATTATTTAGTATAACATATTTGTGTCCATTATTTTATTTTTTATCTTTTTAAAAAAAACTAATCATTTTTTGTAATAGTTTGATATTTTGATGATAATTGTACACAGCATTCCAATGTGTCAACGTACTGTAAACTTATAAAAAATAGTGCACATTATTCATACACTATTGACATTTATAGTGTTTAATACATAAAAATTACCAAGGTTAAACATTAACCACGTTCAAATAATGAAAGCCCCTCTCTATTTTGGAATCCGCTGATAATTGTAGAAAGATATCAATGTATTACTTCACTGTATGGTCGCTCTAACACTACATGCAATTTATTATAAAACTAATAAAAAATATTGTGATTTAATTTAAACTCAATTAATCAAACAAAAAAATAAGAGTTATACAGACATGTTACATATAGAGTAATTAAGCAAGCTGTTATATTAACACTGTTAATACGGCAATTAGAGTGGCGAAGAGTTAAAAATGTTAACTTAAAATATACCGTAAAAATGCATTATTTAAAGTTAATATGGTTAAAATACTACAGTTCTGTACAGTATGGTAACAGAATCCATAAGCAGATGGTAAATGTGTGGACTGGGTATCATATCCGGAGGGGTTGGTGAGAATTGTGGGGACAATCCTGAACTCATAGCCACGATAACTCATAATCCAATGTAGCATTTAAATTAAGTGCACTTTGTGTTTTGCAGTATTTACAGTATTTTGCATTCATGCAAAACTATATTAGGATTGTTTGTATTTTAAACAATAAAGATATTATGTTTCAAATGGTATTTTGTCTGATGGGATGACATGAAAAATGTTTGTCGACTGAAATCCCATTACATGTTTGGTTTAGATCAAAGTCCTGATATGCATCATATATTTGCATTAAATACCAACAATTATTATATAATAAGCTAAAAACAGGCAATTTGTGAATAAAAACGGACAGTTAGACTGGTTTTAGTTGTCGGTGGAGTACAATAACATGTTTACCATAACTTATTACATGATTTTTATAATATGCAGAAAATTTTTCAATTGATTTTTATGTAAAAATTACATCTAAATTGTCTGAAAATAAGACTAGAATTTTATGCGAATTCATTTGCAGACATACACTGCAAGAAATGCTAAACTTTTTATTTTTTACATTAATCGATAAAATATAATTTATATACAATATATTATATGTCATTTAAAAAACAGTGATTATATTCAATAGTTATAATAATGATAATAAAATAATAATTATGGTGAATTTATTGATCACAATCTAAATTACTTATAGTGTACAAAATATTGATATTTGTTGTGAATTTTCTATTAATTAAAAAATACCAAATATAGTGCTGAAAATAGTGAACAAATTATATTATAAATTGTAGTATAATTTTTACGCAATTAATTTTGTCAGTAATTATTTTACGAATTATTATGTTATTTATTTGAATGGTGTCTTCAATCAATAATTATTGATATAATTAATTCAATAACTCGTTTATAAACTCATCAAATGTATAACGTGCTTTATCTATAATTTACCATCAACAATTTAGTATCGCATTTATTGTGCTAATTATTAAACTGATACCGTAATAATTATCTGACAATAACTCTGTAATAATTGTGTTATTAAAAGGGATTAATGATCTAATATTGTTTATTCATTTACTTGATTTATAAGAATGCATTTTAATAACAATATTAAAAGTTTTACATTTATTCTAACATTTATTACCGGAATAATAATAACATTTCTGGCAATAATGTTAACAATTTTGTTCATATTTAACGTATTATTTTCAAAACAACTATTTAGTAAGTTTTATTGTAGATTTTAATTAATGTTGTATTAATATTATTACGTTATATAAATGTAAATCAATATTTTATTATTTCATAGATTATTCAACGGATGATGTTTTGGTGTCCAATATTTCTCTAACCATTTTATATTTGTTTCTCGCATTGATTATAATGTTTGGTGTTTTGGCTATAATTACAAACAATTTAATGATTTGCACAGTATTTACCACTCTATTGATAGTGTGGTTGATGTCCATCAATACTATTGTACGACAATATTTGCTATTATTTAATGGATTACTATTATTGTCGTTAAGCGTGTGTTTTATAATCATTTTTAAATCACAACCCGATCTGAATTTTGGTCAAACAATTCACACAAATTTATCTCTTATTGAAACAAAAGTTAAAGAATTAAAACAAAACATAAAAACAGAAATTATATACGAATTATAAAATTTTTTACAATAAATTTTTTTAAAAACTATAAAGGTAAAAATATTTTTAGTAAATATCCGATTACATGACGTAAATTATAATTTTAAATTTCACACAAAATAAAACAATTGCAAATTTGTATTAAATTAGAATTTTTTATTTAAATTATTCCTAAATTTCGATACATTTTGTACACATTATTCCGAAATTACATTAAATTCATAGAAAAAATAAAATATTAATTCTTTATAAAAACAATTTTCCATTTGTTTTTCCCAAGAGTTTAAAACAGTTTCAAATGAGAAATTTGTTAACAATAAAACACTGTATAATATACGGTATATTATGATTGATTGGCAACAATTGTTCAACAAATTTAACCAATTGTTTAGCATTAGAGACAACACGAAGAAAATAACAGATGTTTTATACAATTATATAAAACATTGCAATTAATTCACACAAAAAGCATTTAAACGACTAAAAAACTTCAGTAGTTTAGACCCAATCGATAAATAGCCTAAAATGCTATAATAAATACTGAGCAAAGAAAGCACACATTGGCCTTAAATTAGCGGCTAATTAGACAGCAATTAACGGCAATTTCTTAATTTCAAAAACACTTAATTAAACAAAACATCTAAAAACACAGTAATTCGGCAATTAATCTAAACAAACAATTTGGTGATACCATTGAATTCATTATTAAATAACACAACAATGAGTTTAAAGGAAATAACAAAATAGAAAATAATAGCAAAAACAAAGAGTTAATAATAAATCAAAAAAATTAATTTAATTTAAAAAATCAATCATAGATTTAATTCATTAAATCACTCAAAGCGAGCGATTAATACCATCATAAATACGCCGACGAGGAGTGCGAACACCTCTTTGACTGATTGCAAAAGACTGGTCTTCTCCAAGAGCTCCGGTATCACAGATACGGTGGCGATGTATATGAAGCCGCCGGCGGTGAACGGCAGTATCCAAGAGGAGGCCGCGTCGCCCATACCCTCGGCGAACAGACTAATACAGGTGCCGGTGAGTGCGCCCACCGCTGTGATCAACTGCATGGACATGGCTTTGCGTCGACTACAGCCCGATTGGATCAATATAGCGAAGTCGCCGATTTCGTGCGGCACTTCGTGCAGCAAAATGGTGATCGTTGTGACGATACCGATGTTCTGTCCTGCGAGATATGACGCCCCAATCGCCAGACCGTCGGTCAGGTTGTGCGTGAAGTCTGCGGCCAGATTCAGATAACCGGCAACTTTGATATCACCGCTTTCTAAATGGTATAAACAGACAATTGTGTCAATTATTTCCATCAACAAAACAAAACAAATCGATTGATAGGTAACCTATATTTGAATCGTGTGTCAACTTCTTCTTGTCTTCATCGCCGGAGCTCTTCTCCAAATCGCTATCGATCTCAGTGTCAGAATTGGTGTCATTTCCAGACTTCTTCTCTGATTTGGTCTTTTTCTTGGACTTATCGGTGCTCTTCTTGTGTGCGGTCTTCTCATGAGTTTTGGAGCCGTGGCCATGGCTATGGCTGTGTCCGTCGCCTCCCTTCACGATACGCACAAACTTCTCGACCATTAGGAACACTATAATACCGGCCAAAACCCAGAGGCCAACGGACAGGTCGTGTACGTGCGGCTCGCCGTCCATCTGAGGCGCGGAATGCGAGTGCGAATGGGAGTGACTGTGCGTCGAGTGGTCGCCACCCGAATGGCTGGCCTGGGCTTCGATGGCGTGCGGTATCAGATGGAGGAACGCGTCGCCGAGAAGGCCGCCGGACGCGAAACTCAGCAACACTTTCAGCCATTGTTCATATTTGGGCGAATTGTCCAGAGGTATGAAGAAGAGTATGACATACGGCGCCAATGAGATCAATACCGTTGAGCCCAACGCTTTCACCCATACGGACGACGGGTCCACCGCGTGGTGATGATCGTCGTGATGGTGGCCATCGGCCGACTCGCTGTGGCTGTGATACGGACAACCAGTGCCGGCGGGTTTAGCGCCTCCGGTGGCAGTCGGCGGCGGCGCCTCTGCTTTCTTCTGTTGTCCGCCAGTGTTTGCTTCTCGTGAGTACTTGAAGGCCGGCCGGACCTCCATCTCGTCTTCGTGGTCGTGACTGTGGCCGTCGTGGCTATGGCTGTGACACTCAATCGTCGCCATCGATACCATCAACACCACCGCCGCCGCCGTCAACGCATACGTCCACCACTTCTTCATTGTCTTCTTCTTCTACTTCTTCGTCGACCGAAACAATCGTTTATTAATTGATTTGAAAAGTGATTCAAAGAGAGAGAAAACTAACAAAACATATGATAAACGAGTTTTAAAATGAAATGATTTTTTGTAATCAGTTTTTGTTGTCAACAAAAAACACAAACTAATGGTTAAAAAATCACTTTTCATTCAATGAATTGTGAATTTAATGTCTGTTTTTTGCACTCAATTTTTGGTCGCAAAATTTCTTTGGCATTAATTTCTGTATTAATTAATAACTGAATTAATTGTTAAGTATTTGAAAACAAAATTAACAAAACTTTTTTTGTTTGAAAAATTTGTTTTCAAAAACTTGTTTTCATTTCTAAACGCCTTTTATATTGTGTTTTCAATACAATGCGAGTACACAAACAGTACACGTGTTTGACAGTACACTTTGCGCACAAAATCTGTAGACAGTAGTCACGCATAACAGTGTAAAACATCTACAATTAATTTAAAACTCAAACCTTATAGTGAATCACAATAAGCGTATAAATTACTTGTTGAACTCAAACGGCTTCACTCAATACAAAACAGCAACAAATAATTACACGACAATAGACTCCCCGACTATATTGTCAGTAAACATCTGATCGCAATGAGCCGTTCATATAAAACGTTACCGATTACCATAATCAGGAAGTATTGAACTTTAAATATAGTTTCGGATCATTGAGCGCATTAATTACAATCTAGATTAGATTAGATAATGAGCGAGTTAATTAAATAATAGGCCTACTTTACGCACACCACTCAGCGTGTGTTTTATAGCGCAAACGCTTGTGATAAAACTAAAATAAAGTTACCACATATTATTGTGTTTATTAAGGGGGACACCCATTGCGCAGAGAGGGGGCAAAGGGTGGGCAAAGAGTAGATAAGTTTAATACAGGTATACAGAAAACACGTCGACAGCGCCCCCTTCTCCGCCCACACACACCTCGCGTAACGTCATATACGAGTGGTATTCGCGTAATGAACGCTCTGGTGTGAAGAGTTGATGCACTCATCCGCCAATCGATCGCATTGTGAATACAATACAACACTTGTGTTCACTAAAACACTAACACTCATTAATAAATGCATCGAATGATTAAAGTTGACGATTAACTGAATGAATGAAATACAGTGTGTCTGACGAGTGATAGCCGTATAGACAGTGAGACACAGCGATAGACTCGCTGTACATATCGTCCCACGAAATGGTTATTCAATAGTAGTGTTGTATTGAATGCAATGAATGTGTGATTACTATTGAAATTAAAGTGTTATAAATCGATACGAAATGTGTTCACCCGATATGTATTGACTCGTATTTCTTAAACCCATTATCACATCATATGATAAGACAATAATACCATTGATTATTATTATACATGTTATTCCTATGGGTATTGTTTTGGGTGTAGTGTTTGTGTCAATCGTATGACATATTATTGTTGTTATTATTGTTTTTGATGAATGAATGCGTGTTTTCCGCACACAATATGTTGAATACCTATCAATCAATTCATTCATTAGTTTGAGTCCACAATTGACTCAACCGTTGGTTTGTTTTGTAATTCACTCTTAAGAGTCTTAATTGGGATTCAATTGTAAACCCAATCATTAGGTGTATTGTTATTGTTGTTGTGTTTTGTGTCTAACATATGATACCAATCGCGAAGACATTTGGACACCAGTGATGGGATCGAGAATCAGGTAAATTAGATGCTAAAACAACCATGCTCATCACCATGGTCACTATCATCGTTATTGACCACAACTAATGACACATATGTTTGTAACCGCAGGACAAACACCGACATCAGTCACGTGTTTGAATGCTATCTGGAGATCGGTTGGAGTGAGGGAGGAGTGGCCACCGCTGCGGACAACAAGCCCTCAATTGTGGCCAAATATCCGGCCGACTATTGCGCGCAAGAGATACTGAAATGTGTGCCGCAGTTCGCCTACCCGTGCGAACTGGCCGTCGAAACGGTCACACATTTCTCATTCGTGTTGACAAACATGGACTCGAAGTGGACGTTCGGCTTCTGCCGTCTGGCGCCCTACTCGCGCACGTGTCTGGCCATCGTGTCGTACCTTCCCTGGCACTCGACCTTCTATAAGATACTCAACCATTGCTCGGACATCGCGGCCAACGCCGGCGAACACACGTCGGCCGCTCAGAGCGCCTACAAACGCAACTTCTTGGACGCCATCTACGGCTCGGAGATACCGCAACCGGGCCTCGAGCTCGCCGTCACGTATTACGCGGACAACGGCTGCCGCGAGTTCGTCGCCCAGTGTCCCGACCACCTGAAGCTGCCCTCCATTCCCGAGGACCGCAATCTGACCGAGTATTTCAACGCCATCGACGCCCACAATATGATCGTCATATTCGCCAATATGTTGAACGAGCGGCGAATCATAATGACGTCCAAGAAGTTGTCGCGACTGTCGGCCTGCGTTCAGGCGGCCAACGCACTCATCTATCCGATGCATTGGCAGCACATCTTTATACCGGTTTTGCCCCACCATTTGCTCGACTATCTGTCGGCTCCGATGCCATTCCTGATCGGTGTGCCGACAGCGCTGATGGCTCGGGTGCGTCGGGCAGAGTTGGGCGATATAGTGATACTGGACTGCGACCACAATCGGGTGGACTCGCCCTTCGATGACGTCCAGATGTTGCCCACGGATATCGTGCACACCCTTCGCAAGAGTCTCCGCAACCCGATGTCGGTGTCAATGCTGGGCGATTTGGTGGCCCGCAGTTTCCTGCGAGCGCTGGTGTCGCTGATTGGCTGCTATCGGGACGCGCTTCGGTTCACTCCCGGCCAGAAGATCAGCTTCAACTACGAGGCATTCGTGTCCGCGCGGTCGCCATCGGTGCAGACATTCCTCGAGAAGATGCTTCAGTTGCAGATCTTCCGGCAGTTCATCGAAGGCCGGCTCGAGATGTTGAACAACGGCGAGGGCTTCAGCGATGAGTTCGAGTTCGAGCTGAACATGTATGAGGACAAGAGCACACATCGGCTTAAGACTCAGTACAAGGAGTGGTTGGCGGCGATGCGCAAAGAGGGCGGCGCTATACTCAAGAGTGTCAACCCGAGGGTGAAGTCCGTCTATCGGCAGGTGAAGGACAGGAGCCGTCAGACGTATAGGGATCTGAAGACCAAAATGCAGAACAATAACGACAAGTCCTACCATTACTCAGACAATACTCAACACAAGACGAGCGGCACCTCTGCCGATGGCTATAAGGCTCACAAGACGGCGAGCGCGCCGTCCAGTCCTACGTTACCCATCCGTGCGATCGCCGGTAGTATTAAGAAGAGTATTAGCGGTAATGTTATCGGGAAGACAGACAAAACTGTGACTTACGTCCGACAGCGGGCGTCAAACAACGGCAGCGAATCCAATGGCAAAGCCATCACTCGTTTACAGAATGGGTTCACAAAGTCATTGTCGGTCACTAACGGCCTGTCGTCGTCGTCCACAGCGTCCGGATCAACGCTTTCGGGCCGATCAACGGCTCCGGAGGCCTCTCCAGAGATATCGGACGTGGATTCGGAGCTCTCGCACGAAATGTTGACTTTCGACAGAATAGAAATCGATTTAATGGGAGAACTGAAGGAATTCCTGCACAAGAAGTCGTCGACCGACGAGTCCTCCAATAGCAGTAAATCCAATAAATCGGTTTACAGCCAGAATAGCGCTTCCGCCAACTCTTCCTCCTCTCAATCCAACGCCATCTCATTCATCGCGCGACCCATTCCTCCGCCAAGAAGTCAAACGCAACGCAAAGCGAAGCCATTCGGCGGCGACGACGCCAGGGATGGTAAGGAAGAGTCGCTCATAGAGTTGGACACTCCGCCCGACGGCGACCACAATGAGGACGCGGCCGTCATATTTGACCCGTTGTTGGAGCCGTCGAGACCGACACCGTCTGCGGCGGTCCCACCGCTCAAACCTCACACAGACTTCCAGGCGCTCAGAGAGAGTTGGAATTCAATGACCAATAATTTCAATAATAATAATAACAATAATAGTAATAGTTTTAATAATATTTATAATAATAACAGTAATAATAATAATCATAATTCAAATGACATGCGATTGAATATATCGTCGTTTGTGCCAAACGTGGCGCCGAAGCCGTTGATGAACGCCAAACCGGTCAATCCATTCCTACAGCTGGACAATCACGCGGTCGCCAGTCATAGCCGTCCGGCCAATAGTTTTGAGTTTATTTCCGGACTGCCGACAGTGTCCGCCCAGACCAGCGCCGCAGCGACCGCTGGTTTGCCCCGTAATAACAGCGCCAGTAGTGCCTTATCGTCGCTGACAAACGCTAAGCAAAACGCGTTCTCGTTGTCAGATATGATCAACTGGTCGTCGTCTCAGATTACAAGTGTTGGCCCACAAAAGCCTAATCTCATGCCTACACTCCCAGCGCAGACCACACTCTCCACCGCCAGTAACCCCTCCAACAGCACCACAACCGCTGGTAATCCATTTAAGACGTCCAACTCATGGCAACACTTCGACTGAAGGAGTGTTTCGCTTACCACTACTTTCTTCCTCCAAAAAGCACTTCTAAAGAGATGTTATAATGATATTTGTTATAAACATAGACCACAACCAACTGCTAAACACTGATAAACCGATGCAATCAATATATGGGACGACGTGTGGACAGAGTTATAGTCTGTTTTTAACGACTGTTTGTTTTCTCTCAATTTCTTAATGACTTAATTCCCGAAATGAATGTATAGTTAATAATAATTTTAATAATAAGTTATTAATAATAATAATACTGATAACCAAATGAACAAACGGTTCTCGATATACATGTATAGGAATAGGAATTGTTTTAGGAATGAATATTTCGTTGACTTTTATTCTCATTATATTATAAATTAAATAAATGTTAGAAATTTATATATATTTAAAGTTATAATTATTACACATTTATTATTGAATAAATATTTATTATTATATATCTATTTAATTATTGATTTTATATTATTTTGTTTTAAATAAAATACAAACGTTATTTTAAATATTTATAAATATTATATACATATAACTTATGGAAATACGAATTTTAAATAAATTATTAATCAATTTTACAGACAAAAAAAACAAAATCTGTGTATAAAAATAAAACACATTAATTATAATACAATTTTTGATTATGGAAATTAAAAATTAAAAGTTTGGTTTTTATTTTCATTTGATGTCTCTTTTGTGTGCGAATTGTGTTTTTTAGTCGACAATCAATTTGCTTGAAATGGTTGTGAAATTGTAGACATTATCTCAAAGTAATGTATCTTTTCTTACCGTACGTACGAGTACTGTCGTCCCCCTCTCGATAGGACGAGAGAGAGAGAGAGATGTTGTATTTCATGCCTGATTTGTGTTACCATTTCATTTGTTACCTCATGTAAAAAGTTTTATGTAAAAAGATTTTTATCGATACGAAACAAAACNTCTAAATAAATTCGTACAATTGCTGATCAACTCGTACCCAAAGTTACCGTTTAGCAATAGTACAGTTACGTTTTTTGTGATTAGCCCCAGCAATTGTAAGGGTACTACACCAAACGTTATAGTCTTGAGTACTGAGGGTATTTGGCCATTATCGTTTAATAAAATGACCAGGGTTATAATGTTATTGTAGACTGAAAATATATCCCATCCAATTATATATAGTTGTAGTAAATAGCCGTAATATTTGTAGCGTGTTTTCTGATATAACTGACCATTTAGTCCAAGACTGAGGCCATTAAATGATATGCCAAAAATACGGTATAAATATAATAATAATTTTGATATTAAACGATAATTTAGATTTAAAAGTCGCATAGTAAAATTATGAACAATTGTGTTTTTAGATTAATATTGTGTTGTAATAATGTTGTTAATTTGATTTTAATTTACTAATATGATATTTTAATACAAATAATTTTTCATTCTTACCTAAAGAATATTATTTTATTATTCTAAATACAAATGCTAAGTTAATTTTACAAAGTGCATTTTGAATAAACATTTTTATGTAATATTAACTACATTAAGTAATTAATTGGTGGGCAAATTATTTACATTTCGTCTATTTTAATAATATCTATTGTTCAGAGTAATCTATACAATTGACCTGGACATCGACCGTTATTTTGAGGTTCAAAAAATAATTATGCCTATCGTGTAGAGAATCAAAAAGTAGAATAGGAATGTAATAGTAAGAAAAAATCCTATGATGTAACTTTCGAGATAATGGTCAAAACAAAAAACCCTCCCCCATATACTCTCCCATAGAAAAAATAATAAATTTAAAAAAAGCGCTCAAATTTGATGAAATCGATATAAAACCCTCTCCCATATACTCCCCCATAGAAAAAAAGTTAAAATTCAATTAAATACTATTGTACAAGATTACTCTCATGTCGATTGTACACTTGTTTATAATAATAATATAACTTATATTCAATGAGAGCTTTCACTCTTTGGTAATGATTTGTGCGGTGTTTTTGCGTGAGAATCAGTCTCTCATAAAAAACAAAGTTTACATCACTTTTGTTGCCACCAATACATGAGTGACTGATCTCTCATATGATTTAATTGAAAAATTGCTTAATTTTATTGTTTGTCTTAATTTTTGACGTTTTCGTCTATAAGAAAAGCAATTGATTTTCTATTATCTTTACGGATATCGGAGTTTCAGTGTTTGGCTGTATTGACGCAAATGTCTATCGGAAACCACTATTAAACCATATATTCTTGTGTTTCATATCCACATGTAATACATATTTGGGTTACAAATGGAGATATGCTTTTGGATCACAAGTATATCTCCTTCTCCTCCTTTTCTATGAAAATTGAGTTTTTGATTACAAGTGAGGATACGATTGATATCAAGGAAATTATAAAAACAAAATAATGAAATTCCAGGACTTTTGCTCATTATATGGCAATCCTTTGCCTGAGAATAGGATGAGAGCACAGAGTGTTTGCCTCTAATACTGTGGGACCTATTATTGTTGTTATCGACACGTTTTTTTACACCCGAAAAAAATTTCACACAATATATGCTTGACTTCTATCACAGAATGCATATATGAATGAATGTATGGCATAATTCTGAACATCAATTGAGAGAAAACTGATTTCCATTGACTAATATTTGGCTTGAATTTCAGATAAAAATAGCAAAACTCGGAGTTTTTTCAGTTTTTTACTTTTGAGAGTCGAGAGCATAAAAATATTTTCATAGAGAGAGAGAGTCAGATGCACTTTAGTAATGATATCGAGCTAACAATAAAATTAAGCAATTTTTCAATTAAATCATATGAGAGATCAGTCACTCATGTATTGGTGGCAACAAAAGTGATGTAAACTTTGTTTTTTATGAGAGAGAGAGAGAGAGAGAGAGAGAGAGAGAGAGAGAGAATGATGATGTCTTGAGGCCAACATTTGCCTTACGGAGTGTGCAATGTGTGGATCAACGCCTTCGCAATCCAAGTCTTTCACTCACAAGCAGTGAATTGTGATGTCTTGTGATGGTTATGATGGCTGTAGTGATGGTTGCAGTGATGGTTGTGGTGCTTGTGTTGTGGATGGGATGCCATACTCTAAGAGATCCATCACTAGCGTCCGTGACGTGAGCGCAGGGGTTACGCAACACTGCATATCAAGTATACTGTGAGTGCATATCCGACACATCCATAAGACATATAATACATATTTCCAAATACACTATTCCTATGTTTGGTTGTCTCTCATTACCTCCTCATCCACTTTCCAACACTCTCTCAAACTTTCTGTCAATGCATTGTAAATATGAGTTAAAAACTGATTTTTTAGGTCCAAACATATCGTCAAAACATTTAAGTATTTCCAAACAGAGCAATGATTTTCTCCAAAAAAGCATTTCACAAATAAAAGAGTGCAAAATATTTTGTTTTTCTTCACATAATTTCAATGTTATGTCTTCTCATAGGAGACGAGAAATTTACTTATGATTAGTGGCATTCAAACCGATAATACGATTCCTTATGTGTTGTTTGTGTGGCTGTCATCGCGACAACCGATTCGTGTGTCTGTCCTGTCATTTCAATATCAAACACATGTATCCATATATCATATCGTGTATCATATCCTACGATATTGTATAACACTTTTCTTTTGTCGAGAGAGAGAGAGAGAGAGAGAGAGAGATGTTGTATTTCATGCCTGATTTGTGTTACCATTTCATTTGTTACCTCATGTAAAAAGTTTTATGTAAAAAGATTTTTATCGATACGAAACAAAACTACTCGGAGGGACCGAAGAAAAGTTTTTACATTTTACTTTCGCTACAATTTTTTATGTATGCATTTGACATCAGGAGAGAGAGAGAGAGAGAGAGAGAGAGAGAGAGATGTTGTATTTCATGCCTGATTTGTGTTACCATTTCATTTGTTACCTCATGTAAAAAGTTTTATGTAAAAAGATTTTTATCGATACGAAACAAAACCTATGTCTAAAACTTAGACATTTAGGCATTTAATGTTAGATACAATGTGTTTTTCAATGCACTTTTGAACGCGTTATAAACGTCATTAGGATCTGGTTTTTTGGCATATAAATGAAAATCAGTGGTAAAAATAACAACAAGAAGAAGAAAACTTATTGATTGAAATCAAAGACCAAATAAAGTCATTGCTATAAAATGTTTGAGATTTTAGTTTTTATGCAAATTTCCTGATTTTTAAGCGAACATAAAAACTAAATAAAATGTATAAATAATGTTTAGCATTGAATTTAGCAAATATATATGCAACACATCTCATGGCAAACTCGCACCACAAACACAAACCCTGGTATTTAATGGCAATAAACAGGACTTTCAAAAATTTGATAGGAAAGGGAGGAAAACGGCAACAAAACAAAAAACACCACTGATTTCAATGATATTACAAAACACCAAATTATACATACTGTACAATATGTTAAGCGTTAAGCATAGTTACTAACAGAAATATAAGGAGAGAGAGAGAGAGAGAGAGAGAGAGAGAGTCTAGGAGAAAGTTTTTGCTCTCTTTTTTTTGTATTCTGATATCTGTTTCTCACTTTCTTTTTCACCACTGATTTCAATGATATTACAAAACACCAAATTATACATACTGTACAATATGTTAAGCGTTAAGCATAGTTACTAACAGAAATATAAGGAGAGAGAGAGAGAGAGAGAGAGAGAGAGAGAGAGAGAGACTAGATTTATTTTAAACACTCTTTTCTTCTAAACACAAAAATAGTGACAAAAACTCAAAACCTCTAAATTGGCTAAAAATCCGAGAGTTTGCGGCGAAATAATAGTAAAACAAATACAAGGACTGAATTGAAAAGCAATGAGAGACCAAACACCGGGTCCTCTCGAGTCTCGACAAAGGCTCCAAAACTCTTGAGAGAAGGCATAGAAAACCTATTAATAATGTCCATCAGTGCGAACCCATAGTATAAACGACCGAATGATTTATAATATCAGTCACTCTTTTGGCTTTTTTGCT